GAAAAGCCTGAAGCCTAGGGCTTTAGACGAGGTGCTGGCGAACTAGGCCTTGATAATGTTTAACTCAATAAACAAAGTAAGTAAACCTTACATTCGAATACATATCTGTGCATTTGCACTATAATAAATATAGACATGTACATTTATATTTGAAAGTGAATAAATGTACACGAATTAACAGAAACAAAAAAAATACAATACAAAAAGCCGTGGGCTTTAGGCGAGGTGCTGACTAGGCCTCGGCAAGGTAAGGTAAATAACCTTTTTTACCGGGTAAAAGGGTAAAGGTTTCGACATGCCAAGGGGTAAGGTAAAGGGTAGGATAAAGGTAGCTCAGAAGAATTACCCGGTAGGGTAAAGGTAGCGCGAATAATTACCCGGTAAATACTTGTTTATCGCTAAAAGCTCCGTGGCGCAGTCCGTGGCCTCCATTTTAAATTGCGATAATTGATGTCGGACCAAATGGAGACAGTCCACGTTCTTGAGGTAGAGGTACTAGAGGACGAGGGTGCCAGCAACGGCATTTTTGGGGTTGCTGCGAACAGCAATCGAAAGAGGCAGCGGCATGTGTTACCGTAGAAGCACACGCACGATTGGATGGAGGGTAATCCCCATGTACAGCAGAGGAAGCGGCAGTGCGTGCACTGCCGCAAGTGGTTTTCCATCCACACGAACGCGTCGGGGTGGAAAGCGCACCTCAAGAAGCACAATGTGCTTGCCCCAGGCAGCGAGGTCGGTACGTCGGTGTCGGCTGCCTGAAGGTTCCGTCTAACTGGGCCGGAGCGGCGCAGGATCTTATTGCCTGTCGTTCGTCCGGGGACGATGGCAATGACGAACTTGATCAGCTTGTTTATGAGATCGCCATCGACCAAGACGACTGGGACGAGGAGGTTATGGAGGACGGTGTCGTCGACAGCCTCAACGCCCGATTTGAGAGTATTCTGTATGAATAAAGCGCTCTACCTAGCAATTATCTTTCGATTTAAAGCTTTCGTGACTGCAGGGATTCATCTTCTTGGTTCTTTCGGTAAAGTCACGTAGAAGGAAAATAATAAAAAGAAAACATAATAAAATAATTGTCACGACGTTTCGGCCACAACGCAAGCAGCCGTCCTCAGGTGAAGAACAGGTCTGTCGAGAAGACAGAGTCTGAATGACACACTCCAGGCTTGGAGCGACTATTTAAGCTGGGATGGAGGGGGGAAGGGCGCCTTGACAAAATAATTTGCATATCAAGAGGAATTTAGCATATTTATGGGAAATGCAGATATGCGATTAGTACTACTTGTGAAATGCGTAGGAGGTCATTATCAATTCTGCATTAACCACACGCAGTTCTTGTGGTGAACATGCAAACATTCTTATTTTCTTATTCTTTCATACTTTGATACTGGAAAACAAGTAAACCCGTAAAAACAAAGTTTTTCACTCTAAATCCTTTATATGCGTGGCGGCTAGAGTCCTCTCGTCCTCTGGCTTGAGATGGCTGAAATCTATGGGTCAGATGATTGTCTGCCAGTATTAAGCAATTGGTAATTAAATATTTAATTTGTTTTCCCTAAACAGTGTAAAATTTTGAAAAAAAATTTCACGAAAATTAATTGTCACACACAACGAGTCTGTGTGGAAAATGTCAGCTCGATTGGATCACGGGAAGTGGGTTAAAAAACGAGCGAAAGATTTGCACGGTCCTAAGCAAGCAAGCAAACTTAATATAAAGGATTTAAAATATATTCGCCTGTGGAGGACGCGGGGATCGATCCCGCGATCTTTGGCATGGGAAGCGAGGGCGCTACCAACTGTGCTACTCCGCCACGGCCTGTGGAGGGGTTACGCTCTGAGCTCCTATACTGTGACGTTCAGCCAAAGCCATGAATGAGTTCTATTTGAATAAATGTAAAAGAAAACATTTTTGCCTAAAAAGTGTAAAATTTTTGAATTTTTTTCACGAACATTCATTGTCTGTCACAACGAGTCTGTGTGGAAAATGTCAGCTCGATTGGATCACGGGAAGTGGGGTAAAAAACGACCGAAAGATTTGCACGGTCGTAAGCAAGCAAGCAAGCACGCAAGCAAGCAAGCACGCAAGCAAGCAAGCAAGCGAACGGTTCCATGTCATAACCACACTGTATTACCCACCCCTTTCCCGAAACTCGCAAACATTCGTGTCTAGAAAAAATAAGTGCACAGGCCGACTTTTGGGGAAACAAAACCGCGGGGATTTTATTCCCTATCACCTCTCCAACTGATTAGGGTATCGGGAAACGCCTGCACCGGATACGATAAGGGCTGCCATATGGCTGATGGGTGGGCGAGCAGTGTTATCGATCAGATCTGGAATGTGGTGGCGTGATCTCATGGAAATCTCCCTTTGATACACTGCCCGGCAGGGCATTTAGCGTGTCAGCACTGTTGTCGCGTTCTTACCCCCGTGCCCCCGACTGGACATCTGCGAGTAAAGAGCTTCATAGCTTATCGAATTCCTCCCTGCTGCAGTATAAATACAATACTCTGGTTATAGTGATACGTTTTTACCCTTTCAACTGGTACAAAAACTGACACCTTTATACAAGGCATCATGTTTGCAATAACCACAACACAAGCAGTCAAAATGCAAACAAAAGAAACAACTCTGATGATGATAATGACCGGTTGAAAGGGTAAAAACCTATTACTATATTTTTCCACTGGTAAAGGAGGTCTCATAGTGTAAATGCTTACCCCCAGCTCTCAATACTCCGATAGTGCGCCGTCTTTGAGTTGTACGCCTTTTGGCGTCATCTGGCCCAACACCAATGGAGACTAGGCTCTAAGAAAAGCTGTCTCGGGTGTGGACCAATCAACTTCAAAGACAGTGCATATCATTATCATCATCAGAGTTGTTTCTTTTTGTTTGCATTTTGACTGCTTGTGTTGAGGTTATTGCAAACATGATGCCTTGCATAAAGGTGTCAGTTTTTGTACCAGTTGAAAGGGTAAAAACCTATCACTATATTTTGCCACTGGTAAAGGAGATTTCTCATAGAATACTCTGGTTCTAGCACTGGTGAGTGACTGGCCTTGACTCGCACTAAAAGTGCAACGAATGAGGGCGGGCGGCGATGGTGGCGCAGTCATTAACACCGGTGCCTCGCAGCAGGGTGGTCCTGAGTTCGAGTCGCGAATGGGGTGATATTCTCCGTGGAGTTTTGTACAATTCTCCATTTTTTTTAGCCTGTGGAGTGTGAATATGCGAGAGTGTGCAGATGAGCGACATTCGCGACAATGAGCGGAGCGCCAGGCGGGATACAACGCAGCAAGTTGGCACGGTAGGGGGCACACCGATAGGGAGCGGACCTTGCCAGTCATCTCAAGTCAGTCAACCCATGGCAATTGGGTCTGCCTAGGCCTCGGCAAGGTAAGGTAATTTACCCTTTTTACCGGGTAAAAGGGTAAAGGTAATGGGTAAAGGTGTCGACATGCCAAGGGGTAAGGTAAAGGCTAGGGTTAAGGTAGCTCGGAAAAATTACCCGGTAAATACGGTGCCTTGTTTACTGCTAGAAGCTACGTGGCGCAGTCCGTGGCCTCCATTTAATAAGTAATATTTTTTTTTAAAAATTAAATATGCTTTTATGAAATGTACGAGTAATGGCAGAACTCCACGACTCCAGAAAATGTCCCCGAAGCTTGCCATAACGTAAGGGACCGTGGTGATTTACAGCCAACGTCAGTTGAGCGTGGACAATTAGACCAAAGCCGAAACATAACATATAAAAAATTATGTTTAAAAACAGATATTTTTCTGATATAATATAGTGTTGTCATCAGTATGACATAAGTATACCAAGTTTGCAGTCGATACCACATTGGGAAGTGGGTTAAAATTGAGTTACAAGATTTGAGGATGCGACAACAACGACAAGCGTGTAAAATTGGAATCATTGAGAGTATTCTATATGAATAAAGCGCTCTACCTAGCATTTACCGTTATAAACCTTTTTCATGCGTAGTAGTACCCCAGTAATTACCCTGTAATCGGGTAATTTGTATGGGGTAAGGGTAAAAGGTACACTGTAAAAAATATCCGTAATTTTACATGAGAAAATACTGTATTTGCTCACGGAAAATTTACTGTATTGAAAATTTTAACGGAATATCCGTGAAATTACGGAGTAGTGCATTGTGGGATAGCTCGAGGAAAAGGCGGGAAAGAGATTGAGAGCAACTCCATTTTCAACACGCAGCCATCTTTATATTCCTCGGTTTTTGCTGGTAAGACTCTCTCTGGTCAAATGTAAAGGCATATTAAACACATATACTTAAATTATCATCGACAGGACTGAATATTTTGATGTTTTAATTTATAAAAAAAAACAATTGAACAAAGGCCAGGACTTTTCGATTTAAAGCTTTCGTGACTGCAGGGATTCATCTTCTTGGTTCTTTCGGTAAAGTCACGTAGAAGGGAAATAATAAAATTAAAACATAATAAAATACAATTCTCACGACGTTTCGGCCACAACGCAAGCAGCCGTCCTCAGGTGAAGACCAGGTCTGTCGGGGAGACAGCGTCTGAATGATTCAGATTCTGAATGATTCAGATTCATTCAGACGCTGTCTCCCCGACAGACCTGGTCTTCACCTGTGCGTTGTGGCCGAAACGTCGTGAGAATTATTTTATTATTTACCTTCTACGTGACTTTACCGAAAGAACCAAGAAGATGAATCCCTGCAGTCACGAAAGCTTTAAATCGAAATTTAACAACTGCTCAAATACTGTAGTCTGTTCAGGCTATACCGGTGATCTTTGTCTCTGTGTTTTGTATGTAGATGTGTCTACTGTATATGTGTGTATGCCTGCACGTGTGTCTGTGTCTGTATGTAATCACGTGTCTCTGTGTCTGTATATATGTACGTACATGTGTCTGTATGTATGTATGTCAATGTATATGAGTTTTCATGTACGCGTGTCTGTGTCTGTATATACGCGTGTCTATGTGTCTATGTTGTGTAGCCAGTACCTGATTCCGCCTGCGTGATCAGCGGTAGAATGAACAGCACCATCCAGGCCATCGCGATCCCCGCACGCTCCTTCAGCTCCACAATCTCAGTGCCAGCAGTGAATAAGACTCGGGGCCCCATTAACTCAAGTGGCAGCGGAGGGGGCGGGGCAGAGAGGAAAAGGGGCAGGGCCAGAAATGGTTGCGGGACAAGAGCCAAAAGAGGCGAACTTCGCGCTGATGATCCCAACAAATAGAGAATTCACCACGCTCCTCAATAACACTGCACGCACGACCTTAAAGGAAAATGACCCATCTCGTAGGCACTGTTTTGGCAATGGTCCATCTCTATTTATGGACCACTAGCGGGAAGTACCCGGCGTTGCCCGGGCGAAAAAAGAGACACATACATCGACTTACACACACATACAGACAATTACCCCCACACACAAACATGTCGACTTACACACACACACATATGGACTCACACACACAGACATACATGGACTTTAGAGACACACATATGGAGTTACACACGCATATCGACGTACACACATACAGCGACTCACACACACATCGACTCACACACACATACATAGACTCACACACATATCAACCTTTGGCAATGGTCCATCTCTGTTTATGGACCATTACGAACGAGTTAGGTTCCAGAGGTCTGTTCGTAAGTCTATTTGTTCGTGAGTACAACTTTACTCCTGTCGATTATAAACGTGTTGTATGACATGTACACTAAACATGGGGAATGGCACCAAAAGTTGAATAATATCCTGTAGATGTAGAAGTCACTTGTTCTTCACGTTCTGCAGATGTAGATGCCACCACCGCTATCATGACTCTCAGTCCGAACAGGCAACTGGACATACGGACAGGTGTGTTCGTATCCCTGAAAGTTTGTAAGGCGAATGTTCGTAAGTAGAGGAGTCATTTTATGTATGTTAAACTTCTTTCGCACCGTACATAGCCAACCATGGTAATCGGAGGCATGGGGGAAGGATAATAAACTAAACACAACAAGCAGTTCTAAAATAATGAGTTTTGAATCTAGATTTTTTTTTTTACAATTAGACTTAACTTAAAAGGCTGGTTCGACACATGGGAAGCAAGGAATAGCCAAGAGCTGGGAGGAAGAGTTGGTTAGACCACGATCCCTTGCGGAAGTTGCAACGGCTCATGACAAAAACAAGAGCGCGAGGAATACAAACGCTTTGTGATGGTCACTCCGACATTTGCAAGTTGCATGGACCGAGGGAAACTACATGCAAACCACTCTTCACAGGGGGTTGACGATATGGGGCAGCCTTTTATTGATGATCGGGGGAAAGGATCACACAAATTGAGATAGCTGGAAAAAATCTGGTCTATTATCTCAGGATGGAAGGGTGTTGCCCTTTCATGAGGTGTGAGTTAAATATGATATCTTTATATATAAAAGTCTCCGCGCGCTCACGCTTGCGGGGGATTTCGCTCTCGGACGGTGGGCTCAACGTAGAAAAAATTTTGACAGGCGGCACGCCCTAAGTCCCGCGGTGGGAATAGGCTATTCCGTTTTCCCATACGTAAACTTTAAAGTAGTTTAATTAACGCATTTGTGCCGTTTCTATTATTAATTATTTACTTATTGCGCGCTGTCGACCGTACCAAGTGACGCCAATTGCATGGGGGGGGGGGGGGCGGACCCTGCCAAGTCATGCGCATTCGCTCCAGCTCACGGGGACATTTTATTTAACGCGTTTAACATGGAATAGATATACACATCACGCTGTCGATTTCTCTTCACAGTGTGATGCCCTCTTCCCCCCCACCCCAATACGTGCAGTTACTGATATAACGTCCTTAGATATTAATTTAATATTATTAAAGTGGTTACATAGTATTATTCTGGCGAGGGTGGGGGGATGGTGGGGGGGGTAGCGGCCCAGCTCGTAGCCTGCCAATGTCTCACCTCCTCCGGCTTGCTAATCTAGGCGAGGCTGCGGGCTCTACACGGGACGAGGCGTCACCACGCCAATGTAAAGTACAATTTTATTCAATCCTTCGCTAAGAACTCAGGTTTATTGTTTACTATTATTAAACAAATACGTTTACAAATATTACAATGATAATGTTAGTGTGCACATAACAACTCTGCTTCATTCTTTACTATTATGAAACTAATAAGTTGCCTAATACTCTATTACTATTATAATGTTCGTGTGCAGAAACTACATGCGTGTGCCTAAAGTCGATGTCTGTGTGTGCGAGTCCATATGTGTTTGTGTGCGTCTAAGTCGATGGGTTTCTATGTGTGTGGGTCCATGTCTATGTGTAAGTCCATGTGTGTGTCTGTCTTTTTCAAACGGACAACGCCCCATGTGTGTCTACGTACAAGTGTTTGTGTGTGTGTGTATTAGTCCATTTGTGTGCGTATCTGTCGCTGTGTGTGTGTTAGTCCACATGTGTGTGTTAGTCCACATGTGTGTGTTAGTCCATACGTGTGTGTTTCACTCCATGTGTGTAAGTCAATGCGTGTGTGTGAGTCGATGTGTGTGCATGGCTCCATCTGAGTGTGTAAGTCAATGCTCGTTTGTGTGTCTATGTGTGTCGATGTGTGTGTGTTAATCCATGTGTGTGTATCTAAAGTAGATGTCTGGGTGTCACAGTCCATATGTATGTGTGTGTAGGGCAATGTGTGTGTCAGTCTATGTATGTGTAGGGGTGTTAAAGAGAGGGCCCGTTATGCATGGCAGCCTATGGAAAACAAACACAGTGGGCGGGGCTACGTAAGTGCACGAGGAGGTGCCCTCTACGACGTCCGAGCCAGACACCCTGGGGGGGGCTGGTTCGAACGTTATGATCCCCCGGGGCCCCACCCCTCAGGGAGGGGTTGGGTATAAAAGGGGATGTTCAAAGGGCTCGAGTCAGTTATGTTTTAAGCTAAGGGAAGAAGACTGAAGACGTCTTAGATAGAGCCCTGGACTCCCCTAGTTCGATGTCCTTTTCAGGGCCGGACAGGACTGAGCCAGCGGCGTGGTCCCGAAAGCCAGAGCCGGTGCTCTTGTAAGAGCTGGTCTGGAACTCCGGGTACCGGGCATGACTTACCAGTGTCGGGCCAGTTAGCCTCCCCTAGCCCATTAGTGGAGGATTCGGGGCTAGGACAGAGTTAGCTAGGGGTGTATCCCGAGTTATACGGGTGAGGGGGCCGATACCCCCTCGAGTGTGTATATGCCCACTGTCGTATTGTGAAATAAATATACGTGTGCCTCAACCTCGGCGTCAAGCGTCTTCACCGGTACTTCAACTGGTGTCAGAAGTAATTCGAACATGGACACGCGGAAAACAGCGCGGGCAAAAGTACCGCAGGAGGAAGACACTGCCGAGATCGTCGAGCTCGAGACGGCTCCACAAGACATGGTGCAGCCGGGGCCTGACGCCTCCTTACCGGGGCATCGAAATGAAGAGGGGCCGCAGTCAGACGCGTTACGGCTGGCTCACGGGAGGCTGGCGGAGCTGCTGTATGCCGCTGCCGCCACGCTGGAGACCATCACGCCGGTGATCCAACACGGGGCGAGGCGAGCCAACGACCAGGGCGCCTTCCCGCCATTTCGGAGCAGTCCGAATTTGAAATTCCCGCCATCGACGCTACAGCTGTTCAGGGCGTGGCCAGCCTGAACATCCGCTCCGACATCGCCGTCGCTGGAGCTGCAGCGTCATCACCGCCGGAGGGTGCGTCATCACAACCGCGACAGGCGATCCCATCGGCCGTTCGCACCGACGCACAGCCGAGTGGTGGTGACATCTGCCTGCGGGAGTCTACAACAACCACTGCGCTTCATCAGAGACTGCCCCCGCTGAAGGAGTTCATCGGCGCGGAGGGAGACTGGGCCGGGTTTCGCCGACGTTTCCTCGCCCATCAGGAGATGGCGAAATGGTCCGATGAGGAGGCTCTCTGCGCGCTGCCGGCGCTCCTCGACGGCGACGCGCTCGCCGCACTCACATCGGCGCCGAGAGAGAAGCGGTCTACGTTACCGATGGCGCTACAGCTGCTGGGCGGGGTCTATGGACCATCAGCCGAATGCCGACAGCAATTTTACGACCGCAAGCGGGGTGAGAAGGAGTCGCCCCTAGCATACCGGACGAGCCTCCTGGCGATGGCTAAGTCGGCCTTCCCTCGTATGGACGACGACGGCGTGGATGCTATGGTCACGGAGAAAATCCTCCTCCTGGCAGACGACCTTGACATCGCTGTCGTCGCGCAGGAGGACGCGGAAATGACGTCGCTCCAGGCGGCGCGGCTCCTCCACGCAAACCTCCTGTCGCTCCGGCGGAAAGCCAGCAGGGCATCGGCGGGGCGTGCGGTGGCTGCAACCACCCTTCCGACGGAGGAGCTCTACGCCGTCGACCACCGACGGCAACAGGCGACGGGAGCACGGTCGGGCCGGGACGGGTCGGGCCGTTCCGACCATCCGTCACCTCCGACGGCGCTCCCGCGGTGTTTTAACTGCGGCGTCCGGGGCCACGTCGCCTCGGGGTGCCGCTCTCCTCGTCAGCGCGGGACGACACCTCAACGGGACGGCGGGCCTCATCACAAGCTCCACCATCATAACCCGGCGAGTCGCGGCACCCCAACATGTTTGGCCCACGCACACGCCCGTCACGCACTCAAACACCGCACCGAGAGGGGGGCCGATATCGCGCACCATCGCACCATCACGCACCACTCTGGGTACTCATATCGAACCCGGCCAGTGGTCCGTGCTGGCTGATCGTGTGGTAGCCGCATCGTCGGGGTCGTCGGCCGTTGTGGGGCACATCGACGGGGTTGAAGTGCGCATCCTGGTCGATACGGGAGCATCGGCGACCATTATTTCGGAGTTAATATACAATATTCTCCCTGTCCAGAGCCGTCCTTTGATGCCTGTTAACGTACCATTCTATGCGGCTAACGGGGGCTCACTTGGCATCATCGGACAAATTCGGGCCCAAATTTGTGTTGGGGAAATTAAATTGTCTGGGCCGATTTTTGTTTCCTCCTCGCTGGCGGTTCCGTGCCTGCTGGGGACGGACTTCCTGGCCAAAATGCCGATTAGGATATTAA